TATATGTTTTTTTATAAATAAATTTTCCTTTATTTTTCTTTTTATTGTATTTTTTCTTTTAAAAGTATTTTTACACTGGTAAAATTAACCTCATGTTTGTGGTTACCTACTATTATATATGTACTTAAAGCAGTGTGATTTCTATTGTGTTTCATGGAGTTTTTGTGCTGATATATTCTTTTTTATTAATTTTGCATCTATTCTCCTATATATATATATATATCTTTTTACATGAACATTGCAGTTTATTAATGTTGTTTTTAGTATCCAGCATTTGAAGACTATCTTTTATTCTACTGAAATGGTGTGATATTGTGTTCTGGAAACCAGAAAACGTTAAAGGTCAAACATTTTAAATACCGTGGAAAACAAATATTATTCCAAGTAAAGAAAATAACAAACAAAATGAAATTGAAACTCCGTGTGATGTGAAATAGTCAATAACTGAAGGTATCGTTATTTAATAGATTGAAAATTGTACTTTGAAATTTCATCGTGAATTTCGCATTTTAATTTTGAAACCATCAAACATGTATCAAAACATCAAACATCAGTAATGCAATAATATGCTACATAAAATTCCATTATTTGCATCTGGATACACGGATTCGTTATGATATTTGATCAGCAATTTAAAAACTGCATGCGAACTAAATTCAAAGATATGCAAGATTAAATAAAAGTTCTGCGAAACATCTACTTGAAATGTTGCAAGGGGAAAAGTTCAAGTTTAAAAAGAATGAAAGACTATCGACAGTAAAAATTCCGATTAAACCGAAACTTTTTTAAAAATAAAAGATTTGTTTCCGATTCAAGCCCTTATGTAAACAAATGTATATGAATGAAACATATTAGCAGCAGGTAAATCTTCAGAGACTAAACGCATTAAGAAATGAGGTTAATTTTTACCTTAATGCCACATCATTAATTGAATTACTATGTTACATGGCATAAGACATATGTTGCACGTTACCTCAGTAATAATTTTAGGTTGAATTATACGATTACTAATTTTGAAGTGTTACGCATTTGCGTTCCTAATAATACCTCCTGAATGAAAACAAATTTAGATATTGAGAAAAGACCTAAATTACTGTTATTAGTTTTAGTTATATAATTCCGTAGTAACGGTCCATTTTCCGGTTCTCTTGAGCGGTGGATTTTGACAAACGAGGTGTCAAAAGAAAGGGAATTTCATTCAGCAGTTTCAATTTTGATTCTCATAACTTTAATTAAAGAGATCAAAAATGTAAGCAGTATAAATTCTTTGAGAGAAGGAGGGGGTTTACTAGGCGCATCGAGACGAAACAAGTCGGGTTTTAAAGATTTATTCCGCGTTACAGACGATTTACAATGAAATTATTACATTCCTTCGTAAAACTTCGTGAATATTATCGTAATCTCCAACTTCTTTATATACTAAAATTCTCGGAAAAGGGGCGTATTAAATATGGAGATTAGCAAACTTTTAATTTAATGTGGTATTAAAATTCATAGACATAATTTTCACTTGAATGGTAAAATAATTTGAGAAAAAAAGGTGACTTACAAAATTACGAGGCTGTTCAGCGAGACCTTTCCGCAAAACAAGTCAAAATAACGAGGTTGTATAGGCCAATCAACCCATTATTTTTGTTGACTTTTTGCTTTGATTTTACGATAAAATTATCTTAGGATTCGTGTTGAAAGCTAACGGGCATTCATCAGTGTTCAGTGGAATGAATGAGAAATGCTTTATCAATTATGTATAAATTATAAATTTCCAAAATGCAAAGAAGATTTATACGGCATGATTACTCGTTGTAAAATGTTATCTGTTTACACGTACAGTACAAATAAAGACCTTAAAACAACTGCATGTACATGAATGACTGATAAATAATAAAACAACTAACACAATAAAAAATAATAAATATTTTGAATAATTTATGTCTAAGAAATAATAATAAAGAAAAATAATGGAAATAATAAACAGTAACATGAATAAAACTGACCACAAATAAATTAGACGGATCATTGGTTATGTTGGATGTAGCAAATTAAAACGATGTTTCGAGAAAAACCGACAATTTTACGGCATTCGTTCACAGAGAGGGCATTTAGAAGGGAAATTAGGTTATCATTTAGGACCGGGCTAGTTCCAAGAAAGTCGATACGAATTTGACCAAGCATTGAACACTCAGCCAAAAAATGGAATAGGTCCTCCTTTACTGGTAGGTTACAGAGTGGACAATCCGTATATTCCCTACCAAGCGATGGGATGTAATTCGAATAAAGGAGTTCACACCTGAGCTTGAACAACCAACTCAACTCGCGCCGTGTCAAATCCCAAAAGCAGCCATCTACGAATTTCAAAATTTTAAGATCCCTGTATAATAGAAATCGATCAGAATTCAATGCCGCTAATTTACACTGCTCCCAATGTTACTGAGTGATTGCAGACCGTATTGCTGATCGTATTGCCAACTGATCTTTCCATAACGAAAAGAAACACAGACCTGTCGAACCTGCAAGAGTATCATCAAATTAAATTAATGAGCTCAAGCTCCGTTTCTGAAAATTTTCGTACTTTAAAAAGTTCTAGGTTACGATAAGATGATGCCATTTACGAATTTTTGATACAGTAATAATATCATTGGAATGTTTCAACAAAACAAACCGTGCCCTGAGGTTTAAAGAAAGTCACAAAATTGGTCGTGGTTAATATAATGCACGATCGGGCCTGATCATACATTTTTGGTTGGTTTTTTTAGGTTTTCCAAAACGCACATTTAAAATGTTTGACTTTCATGTCTTTATAACAAGAAATTTTTTAGATTAATACATTTTAAAATAAATAAATTATAACTATCTATTATAATCTATTGACGGAGTCACATTGAGACTTCGACCAGGTTCCGCGGGCAGCAAGGATACCTCCACTCAAGTCCCGCTTGGCATGGATAGTGATAAAAAAAAAAAAATCTTGTTCTATGAATGATGTTACAGTTATGAAACGAGCTTTCTAAGAGAAAAAAAAATACCATGAAATGTTGTAGTAGCATCGTGGCATCGTGTATTTGTGTAATTTGCCAAATTTCATATTTTTAAATAGTTTTTAAAATTTAACGATATAATCAAAGAAACTTTCGCGGGCCGTAGTTTGGAGCACTCTGATCTACAGTAAAATAAAAATCTATTGAAAAGGTAACTGTTAAACTGAAAGGATATTTTCAGTGGTGCGAGCTTATTATTCATCAAGAAAACTATTATAATGATGTAGATTTGTATTATTGCATGATATAGAATAGAATAAGATAGAATAGATAAACAGAATAAGATATACTAAGATGTAGAACGTTGGCATAAGAATTAAATAATTCAATCTCTTTATTCGTTAACATTCATTCTCTTTATCTGTTAACCTACAGTTATCAAATGTAATCTTTATTAGTTTTTTTTAAACTCATTTCTTTTAGCACAATCTTTTTACTTTCAACTTACATACTATATTCTCCTTTGTTTTCTATTTTTATTCATACCTATTTTCTACTTTTGTTTGTATCTTCTATATATATAATACTTGATTTTAACTACATTGTCACCTAATATATCTCTGATATCATCTTATTATTTCTTTACCAGACAACTTTTTCTTATTTTATATCTACTAATATTCATTTATTTTATTTTCACCGTGTTTTCTATCTTTTGTAGCTCTGATAAAGACCCGCAAAGTGGGTCGAAACGTCGGCAAAAATTAAATAATACTATTTGTTTAATTTAGTTTTATTTGACCGCACACCCCGATCAACACCTTCTCAAGAAAACTTTTACTTTAACAGTTATTATAAAATTAGGTAGCTTCATCATGTGTTTTTATATATTTGCATGATAATACCATATTGCTCATAAGAATGGACATAATTTCCTTTTGTTAATCATTTATGTTTATGTTAAGAAATATAGATATATAATGCGAGATTCTTTACACGGATATGTAAGTTTATGGTTAAGCAAGTTTATAGCTACCCTTTTATGATTTCCAGAAATTACGGCTTAATTAAGTTTACGTTAAATGAAAAGACAGTTAGGCCAAGACTAGATGGTACTAAAACCAGGTTGGTCGGTTACAACAAATATATGGGTATTTATTTTATAAATAAAAATACTAGTTATTATATTTTGATGAGAGATGGAAAATACTATCGCTGACGGTACAGCAAGAATATTTGGCAAGGACCAGGTTTATCACAACCCAGGAAGCCTCAAGTTCCCACTAATAAAGGCTCGGTGTGACTTAAGAGTGTTTCCGACCACATCGATCCACGCTTGAAAAAAAAAAAATGTTAAAAGTTTGAATTACTCCGATCCATTTAATTAAACATAATGGAATGAATAATTTGAAATTATTGCAACCTACATTATCATTGATATTCCTGCTAACGTTTATATGTTAGATATACAGTCTGCTTATCGACGTCGAACTCAGATTCCATTTAGGTTAACCAGCGATATTGAAGTTCGAGAAATTCTACTCTTGCAATAGATGTGAAATACGAAATCGGACTCTATCTTATTAGTAACCCAAGAAAATTCAAAAGGACAATAATACACGAATTTGCGTGTTTTTTTTTTCTTATTCTTACTTTTAAAACTGAAGTTCTCCACCTCCAAAGGACTTTAGCTATGGTACGCTCAACAAAAGTCATTCTTAATTGGTAATTGGTTGACTGTCGTGGATAATGAAGAGAAGAATAGTTGGGGTGGTCAGTCAAAAAGGAAGGCAAAAATAAATGATTATATTTATTTTTTACATATGCCGACGTTTCGACCTGAAGTTCAGGCCTTCATCAGGGCTAAGAAAATAACCAGATAACAAGGTATGAGAAACATAAGTAGTGATGGTAAAAAAAAAATAAAAAAAAATTAGAAAAATAAAATAAATAAATATAAAGTAAAATGAAATTGTTAGAATAATGACTAAGAACTAAGAGATAAATAATAATGGTTATTTACTTAGCCCTGATGAAGGCCTGAACTTCAGGTCGAAACGTCGGCATATGTAAAAAATAAATATTATCATTTATTTTTGCCTTCCTCTTCAAAAGTCATTCTTGTTTGAAATGCCATTGATTCATTTCAATATGACACATGCATTTATCATCTGTCACGATGCAAAACATCTTGCATTTTTTATTTATGTTCAATTCAACACTGGCTAAGTAGTGGTACACACGATGATGCAACAGCAAGGTCTGCGTTTCGCTTCTTCGTGGAGTTCTCACCTTCTTCTTTACATAACACCGGAACAGATTGGGTTAGTCGAGTCATCCTTTCAATGTCTTGTCGAAGATTACACAAGTTAATTATGATTGTTTCCATGACTGTTACTTATTATTTTACTATTTTTTATATTATTTTAAAAATATTTGTTAATGTTTATTGCTTGGAAATTATATATGTTTGTAGATTACGCTAAATTATTCACGGTTGCACTTTTCAGTTTTTTATTTTAGGAATTAATTGAAGATGAAACAGATACGTTCCCTCATACGACTTTATTGGAGCATTGTAAATCGCTTGTTATTGAAGTATACTGAGCAACTTCTCACAACTCTCATTCTTGCATCAGTTTATTCGAGGCACAAAGCATGAAAACCAAATTAACAGTAATCCTTAACTTAAATAAACACAATAATTTTAAGTTATCATCTTCGTAGAAGGGAAATTATTCCCCAGAGTAGACAATTTCAAATATCTGGGATCCACAATCACCTCAATGAATGACAAACGGTTGGAAATAGACAAAAACAACTCTCTTCTTTATTTCAAAGGATTTGAATTTGAAGGTATGGGCAGCGGGACCTGAATGCAAACCAGCATGCTAGAAAGAAGTATTGAAAGATTTGAGATAAAATCTTCCGAACGATAACCGAACCGATCAGAGATCAGTACTAACGCAGTGTAGTAACGCATGGTGGAGAAGGACCCATTAAGAACTGTTTACAGAAATAGTCCGAAGATAGCAAGAGGTGAAACAGGCTGGTCAAAGGACCAAAAGATCTCCGAGCGTTGTAATACCAACATAGAAAAAAAAAAAAATAATAATAATTGTATATCCATTTTCGTGCCAATCATGCTTCAAATAGTGTTGCCTAAAATCGGTCTTGTTCTTGCACTTTGCAAGATCAAGACCAAGGCCGCCTAGCTGTTGCAAGACCAAGACCAGGACTGGTAAAAAAATGGATTTTTTAAATAAAAATTAAGGCAAAATAGTTACTAATACTTGACAATCTTAGTTACTATATGTTAATAATTGGTATAACCAATATACTTTTGCATTTAACTCCTCTAATTTTTCATTCGGGCTTAGTTAGGTTTCTCCTATTTAAAAAATTACAGTAATATCTCTATAGTAATAAGCTAATAAGTAACTGCAAGACTGTTGCAAGTCTCTTGCACAAGACCAAGACTCATCTCGGTCTCGCGTTTGGGCAACACTAGCTTCAAACAGTAAAAGTTATGTAAGGTTGTCACATCCAAAATTAAATAGTAATATAAAGCAGCATAAATATAAACCAGAGTGATCTTCATTAAATACATTTTCCATAAGATTAAAATAATCAAAATTATTTGTAATTAAATTTTAGTAATTTTAAAATATATTTTGCCAGTTTGATTCTGTCAATAGTTCATCCGGCCAGCAGCGAAAAAAAAAATGTGCCCACCCCTGCAGAAGGACATATTAGGAAAGGCCTAGCAGATGTTCGAACCGGCTTCTCATCAGTTTTTATTCAGTAGCTGCTTTTTCTCAAGAACTGCATGTCTCATACCTTATTGTTCAAGCTTTTCATCCAGTTGCATTCCGACCAAATCCACCAAAATGTACCCACCAAAGGCTTTATTGCTAAAATAATATAATAATTGTTGGTTGGTATAATATAATAATACCTATGAATAAAGAAAAGAAAAATAGTTGAGATGGCTAGGGACTACCCAATGACGATGGCACAGACCATAACCAGAATTTTAAGATAGAATATAAATTATAATACACTAAACTTAGCATAGGGATACCAGTTACAATTTATACTATAAAAGTTATTACTTATTTTCATTAATTAAAAATTTGGTGCGGTGCGTTCACGCTTGTACTTCCCAACCTACTTTTAATATAAATTAATTCCTGCTCAAAATAAAATTCAATAGTTTCCATTTGGATTCTTCAAAAATTCTATATCTCCAATGAAATATTTAGTTTCTCTAAAATGGTGTAAAAATAGAAATAATTAGTCCATTCTTTTTCGTCACATTATCTTCTACGAATATACATGTTAATTTTTTTTATTTTTGCTTTTCAATTCATATTAAAGGTCTATATTTTGATTTTGATTTCCTTATTATTCCTTTAGCTAATTATCAAATTCTCAAAAACTATCCATTTTTTAATACTACTGATAATGAGATAATGTTAAATATTTCAAAAAAACAAAACTAAATATAGTTTAGAGGAAGCAATTACATTAAGCCGGTATTTGAACCTCCTTCGGACTACTTCACTGAGATTAATCCTTACTTGATATTAAAACCAATTTCATTTGATTAATGTATTTTACTCCAATTCGTCCTTAAATGGCCTCATTTATCCCTGTTTGAGGTCTGTTGGGCATTTAGATTTTTGAAACTAATAAAAATGAGGAGAGCTTAGTTTCGAGCTCAATGAAAGGTTCTCAAAAATAGGAAACCATTTCGAGAATCAGACCCAACGTCTGAAATAATTAACTTTAGAAAATAAAATCCCGAGTAGGTAAACTTGAGGCACGCATTAACAGGGTCTTTTTTTTCTTCTTTATTTACTTATTTTCAATTTTTATTCATCGTATTGTTATATCACCTATTCATCATATATCCTCTCCGAAAGGTTCCAGAATCCTGACCACTTGTCAGGCGAATTCACAATCTTTACTCTCTTATGATAATGTACTATCCTGCAGTATTTTACTACACAATTGCTACTTCCGAAACGTGTCCAAATTCCTATATCTCCTTTCTTCATTCCTTACCCGATCATACCTTTAAGCCCAAGACTTTTCTCCCTGTACATTAATGATCTTGAAGACGAATTGGATGACGGTATAAGTATTCAGAGTAAAATTTTCAAGCTATTAATGCACGCTAATGACATTGTATCACTTGCCACATGTCTATTAAATTTACAAAAAATGATCAATAGTCTGGAGACATGTTGCAATAAATGGGACCTAAAAGTAAATATGACCAAATCAAAAGTGATGGTCTGTAAAAAGCACACGAACAAGCCAAAAAAGTCTAAATTTTTTTTCGCAAAGAAAACATAGAAATTGTGTCTCAATATAAATACTTCGGTGTCACTCTCGTATCCTCATTTTCCCTAAAGAACCATATGAGCAAGAAGATATCGAATGCAAAGCAAGCATTGAACAGAATATGGTGTGGAATCATAAGGAAAAAAGATAAACCTCTAGATAAGAAAGTGTCCATTTATAATGTGATGCTTTGCATATGTGAAGGAGGTAGAGAAATTCAATAGTTACTTCATTAGAAAATTATTTAATTTACCGGTTGGTACCCCTAATTATATGCTCTACATTGAGACAGATTTTAAAGGGTGTATAATATCCATTATATCCTGATATCCCGAAATCTAGATATCTCATACCCATCCAATTGTCTTCACGTTGAATTCCTTATCGTTGAAATTTCCTGCAATGTACATTCTCTGCAGTATATCGTTTTCATTTGGTTCCTTTCGACCCATCCTTCAAACCAATGCTTATTTTTTAGTCATAACTCTTCCGCCATAAGACCTCTTACAGCCCAATAAAATTTTGCCAATTCGGAGCAATTAGTCTCTCAGCAGAGAATTTATGTCTTATATCTTCGATAAGAGAGAAGTCGTGTAATAACCTGCAATAGCTTGACGATATGGCTGAGGATGAGCCGCGAAGGTTATCTCTCACTCGGATTCTATAAGGGAGCATTCAAATAGTCGAATCCGGAAATCCTCATTGCAATTCACTGTTGCATAGATTTAGCTCAACAAAAGTATGGACGATACTGAACGTATATGCTGAAGATCACTATTTATTTTTTTTATTTTTATTTTTTTTTTTTTGATCCAGGATTTAATTTTTAGAAGGAGGGAGCTTCAGCCCGAAAGTTTTTATATATACATATATAAAGATAATTACTTGAGAAGAAAAATAAAGAAACTAATTATCTATATGAAATGGTGTTTAAGTGATTCTTGAAGTTTTTTTAAAAATATAATCACACGAAGAATAATACTTTTAGATACATTTATTTCATAAGACGTGGTTATATTTAGTAGCTGTTTATTCTTTATAATTTAAAAATTAGGAAGTTTTGTTATAGTTTAAGTATTTAGCTACATCTCTCACAGTAACAAATATGGACCAATTAAAAAAAAAAATCATTTTTAGGAGGGGGGGATTCAGCACTAAAGTCTCCCCCTCCCTCCCCCCCCCGTAGTTTCGGCAGAACTGAAGCCTCATTGTTATAGTACAGGGAACCAATCCTCTACAACTAGGATCCTTTTAACAGTAAAATAATAATTTCTGGAGGTCTTAACGACAAACTCTACCTGGAAAATATATCTTCTCACTTCATTTTTTATTGTTCAATTCCTCCTATCCATCACGCTTGCAAGTCCGATCTCATTATTTAAAAGCTCAAAACCCGTAGTGAATCGATCGAGTATATTTGTTTTCAAATAAAAGCAAAATTGACACTTTCACAGGTAATTGTAATTTAGTGCAGCTTCTAGTCCGTTTGTGAATAGTGAGTGAACTAAAAGCCAGGCAGTACGTAATACCTACGTGATGTGATTATGCTCGTCTGAAACTCTGCCTTGCTAACTGCCTCGCTCCAAGTAATATCCTTTCACACCATTACGATTTTGTTAACAACAGTGCATTAGACTAGAATGGAAGCAAAAAATTACGAAACAGTTTCCAACAAGTTTTCAGAAATTACTCTAATGTTCTGCTCATTTAATTTAGCTAATAGATTATAAATCGTTTACGCTGAAATCTCATTTAATTTTTTTGCTTTAGGAATAATAATATAATTTTAAGAATGGAATTTAGTAGCTGCCATCGCAGATGCAAATAAATGAAATTTATTATAGCAATGTATAGTATTAATAAGCC